GCAGCACAAAACCTAAATACACCACTGTTCTCAGTAAATGAGCCCAACTCTGGCTGGGGGACACGTTTAGGAAATAAATATGTAGCCCGGGCCCTGGAGTTGGGTTTTAAGCATTCCTTGATTAAAAAATGAGAACAAGTGGGATCATTTACAGATTTGTAAATGAAATGCAATAATCAATATATGAAACCGCAAGTAAAAAAAAAAAATCTGAAAATCTTGGCAAATCTATTTTCAGTTTACTGATATTAGAATAATAACCACAAATGTGTGTTTACTGTGAATTCACTATAATTTCCTTTTGAAAATAGCTATGATGTTTCATGTACTATCCCTTCAGTACATGAATTAGTCATTAAAGAGAACCAGTGAAGTTGGACCTATGTAAGAATATAATCACGCAGGCTTTTTATGATGTGTTTGCCCCTTTATTTAGGTCTACATAGTCTGGCGAGTCAGAGGTCACATGAGGTCATGCCAAACTGGGGACTAATGTGTGGAAAAACAGCTGACAGGGACACTACTGTCAGGCTTCAGTTGACATTTGTCCCCATAACATAAGCTGTAGTGTCAAACTCCGATAGAGTTTGTAAAGCTAAAACAAATTGCAGATATAAATATGTCATAAACAACCATTTAAGACTGAATATTTAGATCAGTGGTTCTCAACCTTCCTAATGCCGCGACCCTTTAATACAGTTCCTCATGTTGTGGTGACCCCCAACCATAAAATTATTTACCCAGTAATTATAATTCATGAAGTGTCGTTTTACCTCCAATACTGCTGCTTTCAACACAGTAGCTGCTTTCAACACAGTAGCTGCTTTCAACACAGTAGCTGCTTTCAACACAGTAGCTGCTTTCAACACAGTAGCTGCTTTCAACACTGTAGCTGCTTTCAACACAGTAGCTGCTTTCAACACAGTAGCTGTTCTTTACACATCGGAAATATGTGTTTTCCGATGGTCTTAGGAAACCCCTGTGAAAGGGTCTTTCGACCCCCAAAGGGGTCGCGACCCACAGGTTGAGAACCACTGATTTAGATGTGTGCACAAGCTCGTTATTGACTGATTACCTTTAAGACTTGGAAGCTCTGGTAATGAGATCTCTGTGCTGGAGTCCCTGAGTTATATAAGAAGTTGTTAGGTGGTTCAGTTTGCCAGCATGCACCAACATTTGAAATATGAATTATTGCTGGGCTTCCATTTTACTAAAGTAGATAGGCAAGGAAGAATATTTTGTTGTGCAATGTGTAAAATACCTATTTTCACAAAAATTTTATTCTTAGAATACTATATACTCACTGGGGCTACCTTTTGAAAGAATTTCCAAATACAACCTTTATAGTTTTGCAGAGAACTTTCAACTCATCTTAGCTGTTGCTAGAGAGTAGAAAGGTTAAAACCTCAAGTATTTATTGTTGCCTTCATTGGGTAGACTCCTCATACTTCCTGTCCGAAGAAATACAACAGGAAGCGAGCTGAAAACCTTCAAAGTGAAGGGAAATCCCACCTTTCACAGCTGTCACAGGAACAGGGAGATCTTCCCTTATCACCTCGTTTGCTGACAGCTGTTATTTCTTTTGTCATCAGGATAGAAAATGAGAGAAGGATCAGTAGCAGATATGTATTCCCTTTTGCTTTTTAAAGCTGAATTCTTGGCAGATATAAAACACATATAATTGCAACTCTGTAATAAGTAATACATCATTAAATGTAGTTTTTTAGGTACCTGAATTTGACATTTTGCATTCCCTGTAAAGCAGGACTGGTGTGTTAGGGCTCGTTCACACTTGGCTGTTTTGTCAATGCTTGCCAAACACCCCTATAGCGTTTGGCAAGCGTTGGTCCAGCGTTTGCAGAGCGTTTTTTAACGCTCTGCAAACGCCGCATGCGCGGTTTAGCAGCAGTTGCTAGGCCCCACAAACGCCTATAATGCAGTTTGAGTGGTGTTTACCGCTCCGCAAACGCCCTGCAACCGCATCGCAACCGCACCGCAAACGCCGGCCGGGCGTTTGCGGAGCGGCACCATAGACGAGAATAGGAGGCTTCAACGCCTCCTGACTCGTCCAGAGGCGTCCATTTTGCCGCGACGCAACGCGACGCAAACACTCCCGTTAGAACAGCACCATGTGCTGTAATGTGCAGAATTGGCAGAGGCGTTTGGGAAGCGGTAAAAACGCTTCCCAAACGCCTCTCTGCCGCCTGCACACAGCGCTAGTGTGAACGTAGCCTAAGAGGAAGAAAAACAGCACAAGCAATTATTCAGTTTATATGCTGACAAGAGGATAAAGTGGAGAGATGAGCTCATCATTTGCTGCTCATTGTGCTGCTGCTTCTTCTTTCACTGTCCAGACACAGGATGGGGAGGCAGCAGGTTGAATGATGCTGGCCAGACTGAGGACATCTAGGGGTAGAAAAAAACTGCTGCAGGGGAAATTTGTAGATTGAAGGTGAATATTGCAGCAAAAGCTAGCTTTGTTATTGTATCATTAAATTAGCTATTTGTCTTTATCTTATTACTTTTTGCTGGAGGTCTGCATTAAATACTTTAAGAGCAACACAAATGCTGGTGTAATAGGAAAGTGCAGATCACATAAGCGGATATACTTGTAATAGAATTTGTTAGTGCAAATGAAAGACGTTTACAAAAGCTGTTACACTTTTCTGTAACCCACAGAAAGCAATCTGACCCAAGCTGTATTTTTTGCAATGCATTAATCTCTATACATAATTCATACTACATAATTCACAATGGTTACTCAAGTCATAAAACCAATATTGTACTAGAGCAGTAACTTGATGTTTATCATTGATAAACAGCATGAATATATAAAGGCTTCATAGATGACTCCATATAAAAAGGAAATCACACTAGTTTCCAAATAGAAAAGTTAAGACATAAGACTGCTCCTTGGATGTAGCAAATCGCATAGGTTTCATAGATTTCTATTTTTTTTTTTTGCAAGCTATGGCTTATATGTGGGCTGCTCCTATGTGTAAGAGCAGGTAACAGCCAGAAATACACTTCGTATGTAAACATACCTGTTACCAACTGTCTTAATTTTCCTCCAAGAGCAATTGGGAAAAAAAATGCTGACAGTGGTTGTTCCATAAGGGGATACTCAGGAGTAATTACCCTTTTAACCAACACAAGCCCTTACTTGTATACAAAATATTTTACCTTTTTCATTATTGCAAAATTAATAGGTATTGTCTGAGGTTTTTAATTATTAACACCTTGGCTTGACATGTCTTTTTTTTTTTTGTCTTTTAAGGCTGTTCATTTTAAGGGACCTGATTATGAGTTCTGTACACTTTTTAAGTTGAGCTTACATGTTATTGGTAATGTCACCACAGGAGTGATCTCAGCTTCAGATTTTCCCTTACTGGCAAATCCGATAAATATTAGGGCAGCACTGGTAAAGTGCATGTGTTACCTCACACACAACAGAATTGCCCTTTTTGTACTGCTATTCAGAATGAGCTTTTCTAAGGAACTGGTAAGTTCTGTGACACTGGGCTCCATTCACAAAGTGGTATCTACGGCTTTAAGATCCGCCGTAAAATACATCTTTTTTTTGTTGCAATTCACTAAAAAAATGATACTAAAATACCGCATGAGCTATTTTATAAAGTGATGCTCTATTTTAGTAGTGAAGACTAGCAGTATTTTAACGTCTGGTGGTTGCCTGTGACCTTCCCAGCTAGTGAATAACTGGTTGTTAAGAAACAGGCAGCCACTGCATCCTTAACAACCATGACTCATCTGCTGTCAGCGGGGAGTCCCACTGACGAGAGATGAGTCATGGTTGGTAAGGATGCCAAGGCCGGCTACCCCTTGATGACCAGTTATTCACCAGCTAGGAAGGACATTTTACTAGTTGTTAAGTACACTGGCAGATGCCGGCTCCTTAATAACCAGCTAAAATAAAACATATTCCTTAACTATCTCATGCCTGGACCACTACTTATTTAATGCATTTATTTATTTATTTTCTTTAGAGAATTGACTTGTTGACTCATTTTATGCGATATTTCCGGAGCATTTTTACCTTTTGAGGTAAATACCACATAAAAAGATGGTAAATTGACATTTTCAGCATTGTATGTGGTATTTGGGAAAAATGTGTCAGGTCACCTAAATACCGCATGCAGTTTGCTTTACTTAATGGAGCCCAGTGTGTCTGTTCATGAAAATGGAACCTGTTCACTGCTAGGAACCAGATATAACCCTGTGGGCTGTGTTCTTACAAGTACAGACTTCTCCATTGTGTGTAGGTGGCAGATGCACATTAGTCTATGTCGTTGGTGGCCACTAGACAACAATAAAATGGCAATTTTGGTAAGTTGTCGGTTCCCTTTTTTTCAAGCAAATTTCTTGAAGTCCTTCTTTGCAGACTAATCTGCTGCTAGAGGTTTTGGCTTCACAAAACACTGAAATGCACAAAATAAAAACAGTTTGAAAAAAAAAAAAAAAAAAAACTTCCTTCTCATAGAACAAATGCTGATCACCAAACATTTTTTTGTACCTTTGTCATAAAGTAGTTTTAAGAAGTTTCCCTTACAAAAACAATTCACATTGCTACATAGTTCATTGATTAGTTACTTTACCTTCCTTGTGTTGTTCAGAACACAAATCATAATAAGTTGTACCACTTTTGTTCACATTCCCTTGCAGCTTTCATAAAAAGTTTTAAGTTTTTTTTTTTTTGTACCTGTTTGACAAGAATAAATTGTTTTGCTTTTCCTCAGGTATGTTGCCTTTTAATTCTTTGTACCTCCATATTTGTTTTCTGAAAAAGGTGCAAATTCTCTACTGGTGATGTAGTAAATCAAATAAAATAAAGATGTGGCTTAAAAGATGTACATGTAACCTGGCATCCTTTTTTTTAGTTCTTATCCTTACAGATGGCCCACTCTTCTTATTCCTGTGTCATCAGACACATACATTCTTTTTAAGACTCCATGTCTCATTTTATCTCTGCTGCACTTTTCCCGCTATATCTGCTCCAGGCAGTGATGTCTTAATTCTCCGCGAGGAGTTTCTTGTGTTGAAAGAGTTCGTTGGCTGCGAGAGGCACTGTTGGTTGTGGAGCGGGTGGATGAAGAACCTGAGCGTGAGCTTCTGGAGCCTGAGGAGCTTGATCCAGGTTTCATCAGCCGAGCTTTGGGAGCTTCAGCATCCTCCCTGAAAAAGTAGTTCACAAAATATTTGTGGACCTGCACACAGAAAGTGAAAATTTGCTCTCTTATAGGGAACATCTAGAAATGATAATTGTGCTTAAGCAGTACACTGAACAATTTACCTTTTTCCTTTTAGTCTTCCTGCCTGTCAGTTGGCGGTACCTAGGCACTATATTATAAACCTTTTTCCTTATTTTGATTTTAGTGTTTTTTATTTATTTTGGTTTTGGAGTGTACACTGTTTGTCATATTTATTTGTTTATTTAATAGTGTACACAAAGTGATTGCACGATTCACGTGTTATTCACAGTTGAATCTGTTTTTGTTTTTTTGCTTGTGAAAGTATATACTCATTTTATTGAGGTAATACACTATTTTAGTTTTAGTTTTTCGAGGTATTCACCTGGTCTGGATTTATGGAAATATTGAAGTTGGACACAGAGGATTGAAAGATTTTTTTTGACTTAAATTAATTTTTTTGGGGACTTTATTTTGATATATTTATTGACTGAATATATAAGGAAAAAGGTTTATAATATTTACTTTCAAGGGTGAAAGTGTGACTTTTTTTGGGATTCTAAATTTGGGTCATACACATTGTGTGCAATATTTATAATTTGGGTTGCCGAATATTAATTAATTTATTGGTACCTAGGCACTGTTTTTTGTAGCCCCGTAGCTGTGTATCTGCAGTATGATCTCATTTAAGGCACTGCTGTCCTTCACTGCTAGTCTTCCAAGGTTTCGCGTGAGCTTTGGTGGTGTCACTACTGTGCTAGATTTTGTGGTATCGTTGTTCTCTTTGAAGGAGAAGAAGCTGTACCTGAGGATCTGCAGTGCAAGGACCTCCCTGCACCTATTTCACCCCTTCTATGGATATGTATATTCTCCACTTCTCCTGCTGTTTCGTGATTTTTACCCTACCAGTCATCAGATCACTATTTATCAGTGTGCAGCTCTGACATGAGGAAGTAATGCCCTGCCTCTACGAAAATGGCTTACTTGAGTACGGGTATGTCACTGCCTACGTCTGGGTATTGGGCACGCATGTGCACATGTGCTTCCCCTCCCTGTTGGCGCCCGCTGTGATTGTACACAGCGGGAACCTGTCAGCAAGTCCCAGCTAATGATTCATGGGACCTGCTGTGTCCAATCACAGCCCAGATCTCTGTACAGAGGGAGTGATCTGCAAAGCAGGGATGTGAAATGTAAAAGCAGCACACTGTACACACATTACACATAGTTAGGCACACATTTAACCCCTTGACCGTCCTAGATGTTAACCCATTCCCAGCCTGTGTCATTAGTACAGTGACAGTGTATAGTATTCAGGGACGGACTGACCATTTGGAAACTCGGGCACTGCCTGAGGGCCCGGGGTCAGTAGGGGGCCCCATGAGATGCCCTTGGTACCCTTTTCATAGGCTTTTTTTGAGTTTGGGCAAGGACACAGGGGCCCATGATCCCCTATTGCCTGGGGGCCCCATGAGTTGTCAGTCCGCCCCTGATAGTATTATCACCGATTACTGTATTAATGTCACTGGTGATATCAGTGGCATTTAGTTAGTGCCTGCCGCACTCCCGCAGTCACTGATCACTGCTATTAGCAGTATAAAAAGAAATTCCAGTATATATACCATAGTTTGTATGTGCTATAACTTTCATGTAAACCAATCAATAAACACTTATCGGGATTTTTTTTTTTTTTTATGAAAGACATGTAGCAGAATACAATTTGGCCAAAATTTAGAAATTTTATTTTTAAAATTTTTTTATTGGATATGTTTTATAGCAGAAAGTAAAAAAACATTTTTTTTTACATTTTCTGTCTTTCTTCAATTTATATCGCAAAAAATAAAATAGTGTTGCAAAGTAACTCAGTGCTGAATAGCAAACAAATGACCTGGCCATGAAGAGGGTAAAATCTTCTGGAGCTGAAGTGGTTAAAGAATTAGATTAGTAGATGGGGTGATTAATGTTTACTAGATGAAAGGATGAAGTCATTTACCTAATTTCGTTAAGAAATTCATCTTCTTCCCTTTTCTTGAGCTCTTTTTTTCGTAAAACTATCCAGCAGATAAAAAACAAGAGAAGCACACCACCCACAGTTCCACAGACTGTTCCGGCAAGAAAAGCCACATTATGAGGAGCTGTACAGCAAATAAAAAGAAAAACATGCAGGTTTTAATTCTTTTGTGAAGAGCTTGACACTACTAATTTCTAGATAATAACAAAATACTCCTCATGAGTCCCATCTTGTCATGTTTTCCTAACTATAATAATGTCATCAGATCAGCAATGTAGCTAAATACTTTTCCAGGTTACATAGTTAGTCTGGCTGAAAAAAGACAAAAGTCCATCCAGATCAACCATAGAGGAAAAAAAAAGTTATAATCCTACACCCACAGTTGATCCAGAGGATGGCAAAAAAAAAAAAACAGCAAAGCATGATCCAATTTGCTCCTGCTGGGAAAAAAATTCCTCCCTGATCCCTGGAGAGGCAATCGGATATTCCCTGGATCAACTTTATCTATAAATGTTATATCCAGTTATATTCTGTGTATCTAAGAAACAATCCAGGACTTTTTTGAAGCAATCCACTGATTGATTTGAACTGCTCAGAGCTGTGATTGTCTAAGGTGCTTTGTACACTGGGCATTTAGCCCTTGTGCATGGGGATCTGCCGTTCAGCCACAGGCAGACGGGACAGGTGTCCACAGGTATCTAGCTCCACGTCCCGCAGTCCATCAAATTCTGACAGCTTTTGTTGGACCTGGCTGGCCAGCCGACTTAGCAGTATTTCCGTTTAAGGCAGTATGTCTCAGGGACAAATGCCTGAAACATAGACATGTGCCAGCCGCCATGCCGTGTGTGTTTCTGAGCATTCATCTCTAGGCGTATACTGCACTAAACGTAGGTACAGCTAGGTGTACCGTCTATCTCTGTCTAGTTGCAGTAGCTTTCAGCTTCTCATGTATTTGACAGGCTGATGGCAGTGGGGCTGGATGGGACACCTCTGACCTCCACCCATGGCTAAACACCGGAACCCATGCATAGGGACCAAATGACGGTATTCCTGTGTTTAGCTTATATAAATGCAGGAGAAGAGATCTGATAAGTATAAACAACTTTTATGCCTCTGTGACAGTGCGAGGCTCTATCACTATGGAAATGGCCGGGGAAAAGACACAGAGTTTGCATGTCTGCTGATTGCTGGGCTAAAAAGCATAGTTTTGAGTGGAGAAAACGTCTTTTACAGCTTTTTCCAGACCTTGGTATTGCCAGATGGGGCTTTGTAGTTTGGAGATTCCTAAAAGTCTTGGGCGGGATGGAATCTCCAACCCAGTGTCTGGGTGTTGTGGACAAACCAGCAGGGAGTGTGCCCAGATGCACACAGCCCTTATAACGATGGGCTGGTGAGTGCAGTAGTTGGTGGGAGCTGTAGCTGTTTGAAGACAGAACCGTCAGGACAGCTGTGAGTTCCTGATGGAGACTATAACCCGTGTGAGGGGGATTCTGGGCTCAAGGAGTGGTAAAGTCTGGCCAGCTCCTAGAGTCTGGGAGACCAAGAGAGGGTCTGGGGGAATGAAGAAGCTGCAAGGCCAGTCAGTCCAGAGGGGCTGAGAGAATCCAGAAGTTTCTGGTGGGTGCAAGCTGGAGTTACTGGGAAAACCCTGTCAAGTGGCCATGTGGGCCTGAAGAGCAAGGTGTTGTCACCTATATCAGAGAGAGAGCCTACATAGCAAGTGGTCTGGAAGACCAATACAAGTAGAGGTACTGCTGACCGGAGAGCCTGATGCCTTGGAATTTTTAATTTGTTTGCTGAATGAAGTTGAAACCCCGCGTGGGAATTCTGGATGGACTTTGGCTTTGTTTTCTCTTCTCCCTTTTAATAAAAGTGATCTACCAGGCCCTTAACTATAATGCCCGTGTGACATGGACTCACAAACATTTCATCTACTACTGAGCTAAACATCTCCTAGATCACTTCTTCCTGTGTTCAGATGTTCCTACTTTTAGCCACGTTAAGTCCTCAGTCACACCAATATGACCTTGAAATCATGCGACTTCCAGTGAAGTTGCACGATTTCAAAGGCAGATGTCATTCCAACTTCAGGTGTGACTTGCAAGACATCTGTGCATTGCAAGACACAGATGTCTATGCAAGTTGCACCTAAAATAGTGCATGCAATACTTTCAAAATCGGTGCAACTCTGACCAAGTCGGAATCGCACCAATATGACCGCTTTAATTTCAAGCAATAGGGTGCGACTGGGCACTTAGGCTCATTTACATGCATTTATTTGTGTTTAGAGTGTCTAATCAGATTCTGGATGTAAAGAATACTGTTTTCTCTAAACATAGCTAAACTGACCACACCTGAGTGCAGGTAAACGCACAGTATGAAGGGCACCATTGAAAAATCATTACAACATTTATATGCATTTAGAAATGTCCTGTAAATGATATAAATGGCTGTTTGACAATGTCAGTGTGAAACCCTGTCAAACATGTAATAAAATAAGCAACTTCTATAGCAGACTCTGTGTATTTTATTTTATTTACAATAAAAACAATGAGGCCTTATTGGAGTATACTCATTTTTGTCACGCGTGTTTTTTTTAAGTCTTCAATTCAGAACCTGACAAAGTCCATATCAGTGCATTGCTTATATTGTACCGGTGTGCCAGATTTTGCTTACATTTTCTTTGTCCTTTCTTTGCATTTCGGTTAGGGCTCTTTCACACTAGCGGTGCCCCGCAGTGCCCTCTTAATAGTGATCCAAGCTTAGATGTCTTGTTAGAGGGCATTTGACAAGCGGTGAGGAGGCATTATATCTCCTCCTCACCACCTGATTTAACCCTGTAATGGGTTTTATCACCCTCATGGCACAGCTGCCTGTTTTTACACCCTCCCCCGACCACCCTTGCTGGGCAAGTGTAATTTCTTGACCAGCACAGGCCTCATAAAATTCATGCATAGCAAGTAGGCATTGTTTGCTGCCAAACTGTGCTAATGCTCCAAATAAATTGCAGTTAAACCATGCCTTTTGTTGATTTGGATAACCAAATCTAATACTAAACTGGCATAGGTTTTTTTTTAGATATGGATGCATATAGATCAGTTTGTGATGTGTATATAAATACAAATTTTAAAGTTTTTGGTATATTTTAAGACCTGATTTTTGTGCATAATTTGTAATTGAGCAGTATATGTAGAAGGGAGCAGTCAGTTCTGCCTCGTGGTTGTGCTTTACTTTCCATTATTCATTGTATGAATTGGCCTGCACAATAAAAATGATGCACCCCCCATGTGGAAGATATCCCCTTTCAAGTTCTGTTAATATTGCGACTTACATTTTACTGTCAAATTTATATTACATATCCTTTTTCCAACTTCATTACTGACAACACAGCGGTAAGAGCCATTGTCTGCCGCACTCAAATTTTTCAGCACTAGTCGCTGGGCTGTGTCTAAAAGAAAATATAGAGAAATATTGTAAGTTGGGAATGACTTGTGAAAAGCACACAACTTTGCAGAGTGGGTGACATTTTAGTTTGCGCATTAATAGTGATAGGAATTTATTCAATAGGGTATCTTACCCAAGCGGGCAGTACTTGGTAAGGCCACTGCGATATCACCCGTTTGCTTTATCCGCTCCCACCGATAGGCCATCGGTTGTGTCCCAACTAATGAATTGCAATGCAAAGTGATATTTCTTCCTGCTATCTGATCCCCTTCAACCCAACAGTCAGGTTCAGAAGGCTTCACTGTAAAAGGAATAGAAATACCTAAAAGTCAGAGAAACTTCAGCTATTCTTTTTTGAGCAGTTGTGTCTATGGTGCGTTCTTTTGTCTAGAGCAGTGGTTCTCAACCTGTGGGTCGCGACCCCTTTGGGGGTCGAACGACCCTTTCACAGGGGTCGCCTAAGACCATCAGAAAACACGTACAAGAGCAGCTACTGTGTAGAAAGCAGCTACTGTGTTGAAAGCAGCTACTCTGTTAAAAGCAGCTACTGTGTTGAAAGCAGCAGTATTGGAGGTAAAACGACACTCATGAATTATAATTACTGGGTAAATAATTTTATGGTTGGGGGTCACCACAACATGAGGAACTGTATTAAAGGGTCACGGCATTAGGAAGGTTGAGAACCACTGGTCTAGAGGTTTAATATGGCTAGCAAGGACATTCGAAAGGCAAGAGATTAAATGTATACCAGCCCATTTAAAAAATGGTTATGCAATATCCATTTTGAAAACATACCGGCTGCTGAGTAGACGTGTGCACGCAGGAAATTTTAGTTTTGTTTCTAATGCATTCGTTCACTGAAGAATTTAGTTTTGTCATATTCATTATGTTAACCCAATTTTGTTTTTGAAATTTATTTTGTATCTTCGTCATTTGTTTCGTATATTCGTTGGTCTGGGTGTTTTTCGAAAAATTTAGCAGTTTTTCCGGAATATTGCTATATGTTCAATATAATTTGAACAGCATTGGACAGATCCGAATTAGAAGGTTTCAATATTTTTGAACGCTGGTCCAACCCACCAAGAGAAATGGCACAAGCTGATTGGACAATATCTACTGGCACATGTACATCCCAACTCGAAAATGAAACTATCGCTATAAAGATCACTTTTGTCAGCCATTTGTTTTGCCATGTGCTCTTTTGTTTAAATTTCCTATTTCTGTTGGGTGCACAGTTAGATTTATTTTATTTCACTTCTGTTGAAGCTCTTTTATTTGAGCGAAACATGTTGGGTTCGCTTTTGCACCTTTTCATTTTTACTTTCTGTCTGGGGCAACACATGATATTGTAGAATGGAGATGGATTATGCTAAGATGTCCTTCAGGTAGTAATAGAGATTTTTTTTTAGCGAGTTTTAATCACTGTAGATTTTGGCTTTTATAGCTTTATAGAGTTGGGGAAATTAGTTACGAAGGCCAGTGTATTTGTTATTACTGCAGAAAGGTAACTGTATTTTTTATATATATTCTTAACAGCCAATGTATACTGTAAGGACTGTTTAACTTGCCAGATGTGGGATATATTTTCCCCAATTAGAGGGCTATCACATTTGTCCATCCTTCAATGTGAGTTTTTAACTTCTTCCCCTGGTCACCTGAGAGGTGGTTAGGAGGAAATTGTAAAAGATAGTTCTCTTTCTCCTTGTTTCCTAACTATTTTTGGAGGGCGATGAGTGTTCTCTGGTCTCCATCCTAATAGTATGTAATAATGTGGGCAGCACAGTGGCTAAATGGTTAGCACTTCCGCCTGGCAGTAATAGGGTCGTTGGTTCGAATCCCAGCCCCGGCACCACCTGCCTGGAGTTTGCATGTTCTCCCTGTGACTGCATGGGTTTCCTCCAGGTACTGCAGTTTCCTCCCACACTCCAAAGACATGCTGGTAGGTTAATTGGCTCCTGTCTCAATTGTCCCTAGTATGTGTATGTATGAATATGAGTTAGGGACCTTAGATTGTACACCCCTTGAGGGTTAGGGACTGATGTGAATGTACAATATATATGTAAAGCACTGCGTACATTGACAGCGCTATATAAGTACCTGAAATAAATAAATAAAAAATAGGACACATGGCATTCCAACTATCTACAAATATCCTAATAAAAGTTAGGTCATTGGTTCTCCTGGTGGCTTATGGTGCGTGGGTATACGCACCCTTGTTCCTTGAAGTATATGTACATGACACATCTGGGGATTTTTTTTTACTTGTTAATATATAGTAGGCATTAGTTTGAGTAACATTTTGATAGTTAGGGGCCAGGCAGCCAACTCTGTGAAAGAACGAATAGGTGGCTTCCAATATTTTATTTACTTTTAATGCCCTCGTTGTAAATACACATTTACAGCACTCAGCTCAAGCTGATTGGCTTCTGAGTTCTAAATATTTTTGTGTGCACTTACTGTATCTTTTAAAACCTTAAGTGTTTTAGAATTCTTACGTTCAAAGCTTAAACATCTAGTTACTCTATTGGTCAAAAAAGCAAGGCAATGAGGTCAGCCAGTTAATTAAGAATGGTAGTAATAGGCCAGAGGAAAATAGGCAGTTGTAAATGAAAGTTGATGGAACAGATGAACAGGTGTTGTAATTCATGTCAAAAGGACACATTTGAGCTATTAATTTCATTTTCCGAATGCTCACCTAGAATCTTCAGTCTGATATAGCTCCATTCATACTGGCCAGCGTTTTTCACTTTGCAGGTGTACAGGCCGGCATCACTGGGCTCCAGAGATCTGATAAATATGGCAGCATCCCCAGCTAAGAAGTTGGAACTGAAACTGTAACGGCCTTTCAGGTCTTCATTTTCATAGACTTGTCCTCCACTGTAACTGAGGATCTGTGAAGTACATAACACTAGTTATATTCTCTCCTGTGTGTTAGGCATTTTCTACAAACACTTATTGATGTCTTTTGGAACCCAAGTGTTTCAACAATTAAGTTCAAGTCTCTATGCCCTATACTTTTGCAGCTTGTTGTGTGTTTCTAATTATAGAAAGCAGATACTTCCATCATCTTAAGTTTTAGAAGGTGGTTATACAGTCATGGCCAAAAATATTGGCACCTCTCTGTCAGCTAATGCACCACTGCACCCAGAAAATTGTTGCAATTACAATTGTTTAGGCATTCTCATGTTTATTTCTTTTGTTTGTATTGGTATGACAAAAAAAAGTGGCGAAACAAAAAGCCAAATCTGACACATTCCACACAAAACTCCTAAAATGGACTGGACCCTTCTTTCGCCAACTGCTGCAGGTCTCTCGAATTGAAAGGGATTACTTTTCCCAACTGCTGTTTTGAGATCTCTCCACAGGTGCTCTATGGGATTGAGATCTGGACTCATTTCTGGCCAGTTCAGTACTCTCCAGCGCTTTGTGTGAAACCATTTCTGGGTGCTTTTTGACATGTGATTTGGGTCATTATAAAGACCCATGACCTCTGACGGAGACTCAACTTTCTGATTCTGTACCATACATTGCACCCCAGAATTCTTTGGTAGTCTTTAGATTTCATAATACCATGTACATGGTCAAGCCATTTAGTGCCTGAAACGGCAAAGCCACCCCCAAAACATCAGTGAATCTCCACCATGTTTGACAGTAGGTACAATTGTACCCTGTGCCTGATGGTCAGCTTGAATTTGTCTGGACATTGATCAAGGTTCTTTATCCACCATTTGAACAATCCTCCGTTTCAATCTTTGATCAATTCTTCTGTTTCGTCCACGTTCAGGGAGATTAGCTACAGTGCCATGGGCTGTAAACTTCTTGACAATGTTGTGCACAGTGACCATAGGAACATTAATATCTCTGGAGATGGACTTATAACCTGGAGATTGTCCATGATTTTACCCAATATTTGTTCTCCAATCCTCAGTCAATTCTTTGCTGTTCTTTCTCTTCTCCATGCTCCATGTGGTCCACAGAGACACACAACAGAAAGGTTAATTAAAAATTTCACCATTTTAACTGGTTGCTGGTGTGATTTCTGTAGATTGTCAGCGCTTGTTAATTGATACAGGTGAGTTTAAGGACAAGTTCACCTTTACACAAAAAATAATAAATGCACATTTTTTTTTGCAGGTAAAAAAATATTATTTTTTGTGTTAGGAGCCTCTAAAGCAGGGTCTCCAAACTTTCTAGCAAAGGACAGCGTACTGTCCTTCACACTTTAGGCGGGCCAGACTGTAGCCAGTGGGAGCTAAAAATACCCAACATCAGTGCCCCATCATTTGTTTTAGAGGGAGGAATAGTTTCCCATTGTTATCAGTGAGAAATATAATGACCTATTGATGGTGTCAGTAGTAGGGGTAATGGTGCTCCACCATTGGTGACAGTTGGTGGAACAGTGCCCCAAGGGCCAGATAAACTCAAGCAAAGGGCCACATCCGGCCCCCGAGCCGCAGTTTGGAGACCACTGCTCTAAAGCATTGCACAAGCAATCAGCAGATTGTTGGATGCCATGCAGGTCTCCTGCAGACCGTCAATGTATCTATGGCTCGTACATCCCGTAAGAGAAAGCCAATACTTCTAACAGGAAGAATCAATGAATACCACAGTGCTCCACAGCACCGTGGTAGGTCATTGAGGACTGCAAGCTGAAAGCCGCTAAGGCTGTCGGGACCTGTAGTCCATTCATTCACAAAGGACTGTGAATGAATGACATGGCTGTGTGGGTGGAGTCCTGCTCAGCTGCACTGTTTTTGAAAAGTGATAGCTGGTACGGGAAACTTCTCCCTGTACTTATGTCATAGGGAGAGGGAAGCAGTGGGCGTGTCAGATTTGGCTTTTTGTTTCTCCAATTTTTTGTGTCACACCAATAACAAACAAAAGAAATAAACATGAGAATGCCTAAACATTTGTAATTGCAACAAATTTCTGGGCAAAGTGGTGGATTATCTGACAGAAGTGGAAGTGCAGGGGGGACAATATAAGAGAGTAAGAAAAAAGGCTGCACACCTAAAAGGTTAACCGCAAAGGAATTTTATTATGCATCATAAACAGTTATAAGCCATCGGAGACATGACAATCCTGCATGACAGGGGACTCTAAACCCCCCCTCCCCCCCGAAGGGGCCAAGCCCAACCCCTGAAAAACAACCATAATCCCCCCTGCACCAAATTCCCCTCCACCAAACTTTACACTTGGCACAATGAAGTCAGGCAAGTACCGTTCTCCTGGCAACCACGAAACCCAGACATGTCCATTGGATTGCCAGACAGAGAAACCTGATTGGTCACTCCAGAGAACACGTCTCCACTGCTCTAGAGTCCAGTGGCGGCGTGCTTTACATAAGACTTGGATGCAGCTGCTCAGCCATGGAAACCCATTCCATGAAGCTCTCTACACACTGTTGTTGTGCTAATCTGAAGGCCACACCAAGTTTGGAGGTCTTTAGCTATGGACTCTGCAGACAGTTGGTGACTTCTGCGCACTGTGTGCTTCAGCATGCGCTGACCCCGCTCTGTCATGTGACATGGCCTACCACTTGGTGGCTGAGTGGCTGTTGCTCCCAGTTGCTTCCACTTTGTTATAATCCCACTAACAGTTGAGCGTGGAATATTTAGTAGCCAGGAAATGTCACGGACTGGACTTATTGCACAGGTGACCACCTATCACGGGACCACGCTTGGAGTCACTGAGCTCCTGAGAGCGACCCATTCTTTCACCAATGTTTGTAGAAGCAGTCTGCATGCCTAGGGGATGATTTTATACACCTGTGGCCATGGAAGGGATTGGAACACCTGAATCACATGATTTGGAGGGCGTGGCCAATACTTTTGGTAGTATAGTGTATATCAGTAAACATTACATTTTACCTTCTCTTCTTACATGTCATCCAACCATCTGTTAAACCACTACACTATAAGGAACTCTCCCATGTCCCCTGTCTTTTTTTTTTTCCTTATTCTTGGAGTCACTCCAGTTGGGAGCAATTAGTTGGGGTTGGGGGGGGGGGGGGTCAGGGATGATTTGCTAACATCCCAGGGATCTTCTTAAAGCCTATGATGTTGGAAGCTGCTTGATAACCTGTTGCCTGTCAGCTACTTTTCTGCAGCTTGTTTCAACTTGTTTCAGATTCTACATGTGTAGGATTTCATGGAACAACTAATAAGGAATTGTGAAATTACCACTTTTTGACCGTGGTCAGAAGCATTTGAAAGCCACTCAATGTCCAAGTTGTTTCCCACCAATCCCAATCTGTGCTGACACGGCAGGGTCACGTTTTCCTCAGATACACTTCGAATCTCTGTCTGTGCTAGTACACCAATGAAACAGCAGAGACCTGTGAAGGAATAGAAAAAAAGAAAATAGTTTTATATCAATGGACATGCTTCATACATGATTTCATAGAATAGCATGCAGTTAAGATTGTGACCACTAGAGGGTGCTAAAGATCTACATTTCTTGTCTGGCTGGCTTGCCATCACATCCAGCAGAATGCCTGAAATGTTTCCGTTTTCTGAGAGTGAGCTTAATGGAAATGTTGCAGATTTAGCACAATCAGGGGCGGACTGACAACTCATGGGGCCCCCGGGCAATAGGGGATCATGGAGCCCCTGTGTCCTTGCCCAAACTCAAAAAAACCTATGAAAAAGGTACCAGGGGCATCTCATGGGGCCCCCTACTGACCCGGGGCCCTCGGGCAGTGCCTGAGTTTCCAAATTGTCAGTCCGCCCCTGAGCACAACTCTTTGTATTTGAATGACTTGTATACTAATATTTTGTGCATTAACAAGCTTGCAGAATAAGGTCAACTCTTTCCAAAGTTCTCAGAAAATATCAAAGTTTAGTTTGGACTAACGTGTTTCTTTGGTTGTTTTTGTACACAAATACTGTATACAGTTTCACTTTATTGACCTTCATCCTCACTGGCCTTTGGTTTTGCAACTGTATAAAGTACAAAATGTTCCTTCTTAAAGCTTATGTAATATTTATATTATAGGAAACAACAAAGAATAAAAATATTGCTCCTGCCATTGCTCAGTGGTTCTTAAAGGGCTTTCATAGAGATCATGGCTTTGTGAGTTCTTAACAAGTAAGTCTGAAGTGTTCTTCTGCATACTGACTAGGTGCTTTACTAGCCAGAGCAGTCAGTGTCAAGATGATAACTCTAGAGCAGTGGTCTCCAAACTGCAGCCCAGGGGCCAGATGTGGCCCTTTGCTTGCCTTTATCTGGCCCTTTGGGCACTATTTCACCAACTGTCACTTGTAACGGAGCACCATTACTGACACCACCAATGGGGTATTATACTTCTAATTGATATCTACAATGGAGCACTATTCTTCTCACTGATTTCAACAATGGGGTACTACACCTCCTATTAAAACTGATGATAAGGCTTTTCCACTCCCACCGGCTACAGTCCGCCCCCCCTAAAGTCTGAAGGACAATAGACTGGCCCTTTGCTTAGAAAATTTGGAGACCCCTGCTCTAGAGCATGCACCTTTTAAATTAAATAGGCGATTGTGGCTTTCATATTCCTACTCTTCATAAGCTCTTTTTAAGATCCAACTCCAAGTTTGAAATGTAATGTAATGATGAATTGATGTCCCAGCCGTCTATAAAACCGAGCAGCTCTGGCTCCAATACTCGCCTCTTGCTCTGCTGTTTGCAGCCTAAGCCGCTGTTCCTACCGCTTGTGAGTGCAGGGTGTTTCCTAGGGGAATGGAGCTAATGTTATCACGTCAGCAAAGCTCATCAGAGCAGTATTATAAATATATATATATATATACCTTAGATTGTACGCCCCTTGAGGGTTAGGGACTGATGTGAATGTACAATATATATGTAAAGCACAGCGTAAATTGATGGCGCTATATAAGTACCTGAAATAAATAAAATATATATATATATTGCAGTAGATGTGGAGGCTTCATCAGTCTTATTTTCTTTGTTTTTTTTTCCCCTCTTACTTCACCTGGTGATCTGGCCAGTAATACCCCTCCTGTATTAATGAGACACCACTTTGGAGGAATGAGCAAAGGACAAAACAGACAGCAGCCTTGTCAGTCTGGGACAGGGGTGGACTGACAACTCATGGGGCCCCCGGGTAATAGGGGATCATGGGGCCCCTGTGTCCTTGCCCAAACTCAAAAAAGCCTATGAAAAAGGTAACAGGGGCATCTCATGGGGCCCTCTACTGACCCCGGCCCTCGGGTAGTGCCCAAGTTTCCAATTGGTCAGTCCGCCCCTGGTCTGGGGGGATGGGAGTGTTAAATGTACTAGCAGATTTGAATACAAATAACAAATTGAAGCCAAACTCCAGCTGACACTTTATAATCATTTACAGCAAACGTTTTTTTTTTTTCCTTTTGGGATAGTTTTTACATACATTTAAAAAAAACTGATCATTTTAATCACCCCTGCAGTGGTAAATGGATAGTCTCATCCATGTAAACTGATATATTCTGCTGGAGAGCTTGAACTTCCGAAAAACAATAGAGTTGCTGGCTGAATCACCAGAAGAAAATAGAAGAAAGTAAGCAAAAAAAAAAAGGAATCTAATGCAGCCATCACATGTAAGAATTGGTATGCTGCAAAATAATAAATGTTTGCTTTTTGGGTTTAAAACTGCTTCAAGGATTACACAGCACCAAAGAAATGGTGAAGAGGTCCTCATACATCAAATGACCTACCTAAAGCCTTAAGAAAAGGTAAGTATATTTAGCAAAAAAAAAAAAAACAAAAAACATGCAATTAGAGGGGAGCATTTGCGGGGAAGAAGGGTGAAGTTGAGCTTTACCTTTTAGGACAATTGGTTTTGTGTATAACATTTTTCTCTCAAGTAATGGTAACTGAATTGAAGTGACTCCTCATCTCCCCCCTCCTCCCCTCATTTTAGAGGGGTGTATTGGAGTTAGATGGCTGCTTGGAACTCAATAGACCATCCTATGAGTATTCACTGTAGCTGCTCATTTCTATGGGAGTGCAGACATCCATTTCTCTGCATCCATGTATCATGAGTTACAAGCGCCATGTGCACCCACCTTTTGTGGGAAAATTGGGACCACCCTAGAGTGGCACCTATATAGTTTACAATGAAAACTGATTTAATTACAGCATTCAATTCTCCTGCAGCACAAAAAAAAAAAACAAAAAGCTGAAGTAATGTTGCCATGCCACCCATTTGACTTTTGGCTTTCGCTTATCTTGTTCATATTACTGGCATAGTCTGGCTTTGCTTTAGCTACACTGCATCTTAGATTAGATTTGGGCATTTTAAATAGGGATTGGGTTGTCACCTAATAAATGCAGCAGGATGTTTTCCTGAGGCTTAAATAATCTGATAGCTGGTGGATTTGTCATGGTGTTTTTGATGCAAAGAACAGGTGCAATAAAAAAGTAAAAATTGCTATTCCTTTTGACTCTCACGCATAGTCCTTCCCTTACCTGAACCCTAAAGGTAATTTCGTATACCTGCAATTTGGTGCAATGTGTTAGGAAATGTTCTACCTCTTGAATCTGTGGTACAGTGTTCAGAAAAACACGCTCTACATGGGCACCTAAAACATCTAAGATTAACCGAACCTAAAATAAGTGTGAAATGGTCATAAAAATAAAAAAATTGCACTTTTAATTTCAGCTTTTGGCCTATTGATTTGGCAATAACTTTGTTATTACCTAAGATAACAAAGTAATGCCTAAAAGCTTTCTTGTAGCAATCTTATCTTGAAAAAAAATATTTATTTTATATGCAATGTGTAGCCAAAAGCTGTAACAAATAAAGAAAATTGTTTTTTTCTTGTTTGATCGGTGTTAAATTTAAAGCATGAAAGTGTTCCTGTGGGTAAAAAGCACGCATTGTATTCTATAATTTCTTTGTGTATAATGACAGTAATACTTTGTTTCTTTGAAAAAACATAGCAAAGTTATTTACAAATTAAATAAAGACCTTTTTTTTCTTTGAATCAGATTTTTTTGGCGGTATGGATAATGGTATTTTTTTTTTTACTAGTAATGGCAGAGATCAGCAACTTTTAGTGGGACTGCGACGGACATTCTGACGGGGACGGGGGGGGGGGGGGGGAACTAGCTTGGTGTCACTGACATCTCCAGTGACACCAATACAGTAATCAGTACTAATGGCACTGGGCAGGAAAGGGTAAATGTGAGGGGCGATCAAAGGGTTAACTGTGTACTGTGTGTCTTTTACTAGTGGGCGGGGGTGTGTTCTTCAGTGTAAGCACATTGATCGGGATGGCTGTACTGTGCAAAGCCATCCCGAGCAGTTTGCTCAATCTGACAGGGAGGAAGATTGTAAACAAAACAATCTTCCTCACCGTTGGAGATGCTCAGTAATCACCGGGCGGCAGTGGGTAATTACCGTCCAGGACCTGGTGATTGACATCCGTGGCCACAAATGGTGGTGCGGGTAGGGCGCACGTGCAGCTCGCATGCGGTCCCTACCCGGAAATGCAAAATCACGTATATATACATGGTTTTGTGCACAGGTGCTGCCCTGTAGCAGTATATTTGCTATAGGGCGGTCACTAAGTGGTTAACAAAGAAAACTCCTTCCCATTTAATGCTGTCAGCAGTGGCACCACATGGAAGAGAAATGTCACAAGGCCTGAGAAAGAAATGAATTTCTTTACACAAGAAAGGTGAAGGCTACAAGATGATCATCAAAGCTTTACTTATCAGTCAGAATACTGTAGCAAAAGTGATACAAAAATTTAACAAAGATGGAACTGCAACCATCTCACAGAGACGTCCAGGCCGTCCGCGGAAGTTAACACCTCAACAGGAGCATCTTCTAATGAGAAGGGTTGAAATCGCATACAAGTTCACTGTAGTTAGCTAAAGTAGAAAGCTAAACTGGGGTAATTGTTTTCCGTGACACAATACGGTGTACACTGCAGAGGAATGGCATTCATGGATGTTGTCTACGAAAGAAGTCTCTCTTAAAGCCCATGCACAAAAAAGCCCACCTAGAATTTGCAAGGACCCATGGTGAAAAAGAAGACTACTGGGACTCTGTACTCTGTACTCTGGAGTGATGAGACCAAGATCAAATGTTTGTGGAACTGATGGCTTCAAAACTGGATGGCGTTGTAAAGATGAGGAGTATAAAGAAAAATGTATGGTTCCTACAGTGAAACATGGTGGAAGCAGGGTCCTTCTGTGGGGCTGCATGAGTGCTGCTGGTGTCAGGGAGCTGCATTTAATTGATGGTATCATGAATTCACAGATGTACTGCTCTACATTGAAAGAGAAGATGCTCCCATCACTCTGTGCCCTTGGTCATTGTGCACTTTTCCAATATGACAATGATCTAAAACACACATCTAAG